TTAAGCAATTTGCAAGTAGTAATGTACTGTGATCTGAACAGTTCTCCAATTTATCTCCTCAAGCACGGAACGTTAATATTTTTAAAGTCTTTTAAAATAAAACTTGATGTTATTTGTCTTTTATATGATTGGTATAACCCTCTAATCATATGCTTCTAGCTATAGGAAGTACCTCAGCAGTATAGAAATTACTAAACAATTTATGACCTGTTGGGTCATCCTTTGAGGGAAAGGAGGTTTGGAGGCTCCCCCCTGCAATTTTCACAAAGAATACTCAGGATAATGATATATTTTTACCCCAGTGCTGGAAGGTGCTCAAATCTCCTAAGAAAAATGTCTATAACATATAGCTGCAGGGATATACAACACCCAGGACTTTGTGTATAAAACTGCTCTGAACATGGTGGATGTTTTTATGTATCTTTTAAATTAGCCAATCTGAGGTACCTTGATTCAAAAATGGTTGTAGTATAATGCAGGGGTGTGTGGGGGTGAATTCTGACTTCCTACCAGCTTCCCCATTGACTTTGTTTGTAGGAAGCTGCCAAAGAGTATTGGAAATCACAATCAAATGACCAACAGGCCCTGCATGAATTTTGTGGAAATTTCAATTCCACAGGATTAATGGGTCCTGAATTTTTTATACTTTCTTTACATTAGTAGTTTTTAGGTACCTTGAATCAAACATTGTACTGGTATAATACACTAATTAATGGGCTAAATAAAAGGTACAAATAGACAGGAAAGTTTTAGTAAATATATTTCGACTTTTTATTCTTTTAGTGAGAGCCAATTTGGGGTTGTGATTTAGGACTAATCTAGAAACCGGGAGACTGTGAATTCTAGTCTTTCTAATGATCACTTGATTTTTTTGCAGCCCTGTTCGGGTTGCATTATTTATCACACTTGTTTTATTTAAAATTTAAAATTATAGTTTGTAATTTATATTTCAAATTAAACTCCCACAAAAAAAAATATTGGATGCATCCCTATCCAACTGAGGCTCATCTTATGGCATCACTCCAACATCTTTAACAATGCTTGGTCATAAATATGTATTTCCCTGGAATGTTAGCTATCTCTGCTGTAACAGGTTAACTAAACAGAAATTATAAACCGTTTTTTAAAAAATTGCATGGGGGCAGTGTTTTTATGTTTTATGAGCATATTTTATCTTTTTTTTTCCTAAAACAGCTCTTTAAGGCAGCTTTCAATCCAAAAATTAAACCAATCTTCCACTTTCAGCAAAAGGCATAAACAGCCAACTTGGTGTAGCAGTTAAAGTACCAGCCTAAAAAACCTGAGGTTCAGTCTTGCCTTAGGCACAAGGTTAGTTGTGTGACCTTGGGCCAGTTACTCTCTCTCAGCCCTAGGAAGCAGGCAATGGCCAACCACTTCTGAAACCTTGCTAAGAAAATTACAAGGGCTTGTCCAAGCAGTCACCAGGAGTCAACACTGACCTCAAGGCACCACAAATAAATAAATAAATGTTTCTGATTTTAAGGGTTAATGCATTAAAAAGAGTGGTGAACGTATTATGGAAATTAAGGGGTAGCTAATGAAG